CCACCTAGAGAGCTCATTTTTTACTTTAGAAACTACCTCAAATCTAGTGAACCAAACTATCTATACCAATAACCTACCATCTGTGGAGATAGTAGAGAAATTTTTAAAAATTTTATGCAACAGTCTACAGTTACTTAAGGAATATTTTATACCAGTAGTTTCTCCATCTATAGAAAAGACACCTCCCAAAGATTAAAGAAAAAGAGCATCAGAACTTAAGTAGAGTTACTATTCCTCCAAAGTAGTTGATTTAGGGTTCATACACCCTATTTTTAGGACAATCACCTTAACCTTGTATTTTTACTGTATTTCACATTAAAAATTTTTTTATTTTTGATCATTAACTAATTTTACAGTCAAGAATAGCTTTCATGTTCTCAACCAAATCAAGTACATTAAAAAAAAATTTTTTTTTAAGATTTAGTTATAGATGGACACAATGCCTTTATTATTTATTTTTATGTGGTGCTAAGGATTGAACCCAGGGCCTCACATGTGCTAAGTAAGCACTCTACCACTGAGCTACAACCCCAGCTTCCTCAAATATAAATCTTGATCATCTCTCTAGGCTCTCTGTGTGTCAAGTCAAATTTACCATATCTTTTTTTTTTTTTTAAGGCGGTGCTGGGGATTAAACCCAGGGCGGCCTTGTACATCTAAAGCAAACATTCTGTACCAACTGAGCTATATCTCCAGCCCCCATATCTTATTAGCTTCATTAAAATGTCAGCATTTCAAGTGCTCTATATTCTTCAATTAACTATTAGCCAGGTAAGAAAAATAACAATGCCCTAGGTTTGATCCCAGCACCAAAAAAGTCAAGACCAAAAAGTCAACCAAATAGACACTCTTATCAATCTCTTATTGAGGCTTTAAATGGCCAGGCCATTTAAAAAAAAAAAAAAAAATAGAGTTAGAAGCCTTTGAAGACAAATCAGAGTTTCATTAAACTAAGAATTCTGAGTAAGCTACTTCAAAGGAGGTTAAAAGTTACACATCTTGGGTATATGCATTAAGAGCTATTACTAGCCAGATACAGTGGTACATGCCTATAATCCCAGGAGATCTAGAGGCTGAGGCAGGATGGCGAGTTCAAAGCCAGCCTTAGCAACTTAGTGAGACCTGAATATTAAAAAGGGCTAGGGATGTGGCTTAATGGTTAAGTGCCCCCGGGTTCAATTCCTGATACAAAAAAACAAAAAGAAAATTTGTAAACACTGTACATAAAAAAAAAAAGTCCACAGACTGGGAGAAAATATTTGCCCATCACATATCTGAAAACAGAATAACCAGAGAACCCCTAAATCTCAAAAAAAAAAAAAAAAAAAAAAAGCAAACCAGGTCTAAAACTGCAAAGCACTTAGACATTTTCCCAAAGATATACAAATGGCTAGTAAGTACATAAAAAGATGCTAAACATTACTAATCACTGGGAAATGCAAATCAATACTACAAAATACCAGCATGGTGCAGTGGTGCATTCCTGTAATTCCAGTGGCTTGGGGGGATGAAGCAGGAGGACTGTGAGTTCAAAGCCAGCCTCAGCAATTTATGAAGGCCTTAAGCAACTAGAGAGACCCTGTCTCTTAAAAAAAAAAAAAAAAAAAAAAAGGCTGGGGATGTGGCTCAGTGGGTAAGTGCCCCTGGTTTAAAAGAACCAAACTACAAAATACCACCTCTTACAACCAATGGGACGGTTACCATCAAGTAAACAAAATCTGTGTTGGCAAGGATGTGGAGTAATTGGAACCCTTGTGCACCACTACTCGTACAATGCCAAACAGTATGGTGATTCCTCAGAAACTCAGAATTCTATCATATGATCTAGTAATCCCATTTCTGGGTACATACCATCAAAGAACTGAAAGCAGGGTCTAATAAATATTTCTACATTTGTCTTTGTAGCAGTATTATTTGTAATTGCTAAAATATGCAAACAACCTAGGTGTCCCAACACAAATGAATGGATAAAGAAATGGTGGTTGCCAAGGTTTCTGAGGAGAAAATAATAGTTGTTTAGTGTCTAATGCGATTGTTGCCTGGCATTGTAGTACACACCTATAATCCCAGTAGTTCAGGAGGCCGAGGCCAAGAGAAGAACAAGTTCAAAGCCAGCCTTAGCAATCTGGTGAGGCCCTATCATAAAATAAAAAGGGCTGGGGATGTGGCTCAGTGATCAAGCGGGATCCCTGGGTACAATCCCAGTGCTCCCCCTCCCCAATAACAATGCTTCAAGGCCAGGTGCAGGATGTGAACCTTTAGTCCCAACTAGGCAAGGCCAGCAAATTTTACAGCATAATATATATCAAATGCTAAGAAAAATCCCCAAAACTGTAATTCCCATAAATCAATTTTTATGCTTTATTTTATCTTCCCTTCATAGCTGTTAATTGTTCTGAATTACATTTTTAAAAACCCACAGTACTTGTAAGGCTGCTAGAAACTAATGCTAAACCGAAAAAATGTACCATCCCTGCCAAGACACACTGGCACATTCCTATAACTCCAGCTACCAGGGAGACTGGGGAAGAGGGATCCTAAAATTATGACAACTCAACAAGACTCTGTCCCAAAATTAAAAAAAAAAGGGGGGGGAGCTGGTGACCTAACTGCCTACCAGAATGCTTGCCTAACAAGTATGAGGCCCAATACCACAAAATTAAGTGACACACCTTCCTATCTTAATGAATGGCTTATTTCTGAAGTTAGGACTATACTACAGAATAATACAGGTGCTCTTAATATGCCAATAAGCCCAACTGATTATTACCTCTTCAAAAACTTTTAAGTTTTCATTAAAAAAATGTCCAAAACTCAAGTTGATGTACTTCACTAGAACAAATATTCTCAATAACATCAACAAAACAAAACTACCCTTATGAGGCATTTAGTTTATCTAAACCATTGATATCATATTGTAATTAGTCCATGTATAAAGAAAATGCATGGGCTGGGGCTATAGCTCAGTGGTAGAGTGTCTGCCTCGAACGTGTGAGGCACTGGGTTCAATCCTCAGCATCACATAAAATATATTGTGTCCAAGTAAAATTAAAAATATATTTTTTAAAAAAGAAAGAAAATGCATACAGAAATAAGCAAGTCAATACTTCAATTTAGAAAGGCCTGCAATTTTACATTAAAAAAAATGCAAGGTCTAGCCTGGACAAATATTAAGACCCCATCTCTTAAAGAAAAAAAAAAAAATCACCCATAAGACCACCAACTAACCTACGACTTAAAGGAACATGTCAACATACTTTTTGGAGGTACCCTACTTTCCCAAAAACATCCAGCTTCTGGTAACTCATATTTACTTACAAAGAGAGGAGCAAGTGAAGACAGGTAAACTATCTGTTAGGATTCCTACCCTAAGACTTCCATCAATCAATCCTTATTCCCATTTCTTAAAGGAAAAAAAATATGAAGAGGACTTCCATTCATTTTATTGTCCTCCAATCTGAAAATAAGATATGCAGACTAGGTAATTCGGTTAAAAGGTCATATAAACAACTTTGTTATTCTTCTCTGAGGCAATGATTTCTTTCAGGCTCCCTGAAAGAACTGGCAATTACCTCATCCCTACAATCTGATAGGCTACCCCCTTTTCTTGGGAGTTCCAAGTCACTGTTTGAATAAGCCCATGTTAAAGATGGGAATGTGCAGTTCATATTAGGTATGCACACGCAAATGGGGTGTGACTTTATTAGGGGAGGGGGAGAAATGAAGCAGAAGGGGTAAGACTAAAATCCATTATTTTATATATCACCATTATCTCATTACTTTAAAGTAGTTATATAATTCAACCATTTTTTTTTTTTTAGTTGTCAAGACTTTATTTATATGGGAATTGAACCCAGTGCCTCATACACGCTAGGCAAGTGTTCTACCACTAAGCCACAACGCCAGCCCATTCAGCCAATTTTTAAGATCAAAATCAGTGTTGGGTGCCCACACCTGTAATCCTCAGGAGGCTGAGGCAGGAGGATCACAGGTTCAAAGCCAGCCTCAGCAACTTAGACCCTCTCAAAGAAAAAAATAAAAAAGAGAGAGGGGGGATGTTGCCCTGTGGTTAAGCGCCTCTGGGTTTAATCCTGGAAACAACAAAATTAAAGTCATATTATAAGAAAGTATTAGCATGGAATTTGAAAAATATCTGGGTTTTATTAAAATATTAGAGACAGGGTCTTAATATGTTGCCTAGACTGGCCTCCAACTCCTGGGCTCAAGCAATCCTCTTGTCTCGGCCTCTCAAGTAGCTGGCACTGCAGATGCAAACCACTGCATCCACAACTGGTTCCCTTTTAACAGGCTTTGGAGCTATGAAAAGTACAGATTCCCAAGCACTTGGTCTCTACAATGCTCATAAACAAATATGCTCGACATAGTAACTTGTCTAAATTCTTTCAGTTATCATTCAGCACCCATTATTCCTTGTTATAAGAAAAAATAGTCTGACATTCCATCTTCTTTGGACTCCTTGAAAAAACACTGTTCTTATTCATTTTAAGCAAATTAGTACTACTAAATGCTTCACTAATAAAGCAGCATATGATACAAAAGCAAAGAAGGGAGTATCTGCAAAGCACACTCTACTGTAATATATAGCTAGTAAAAAGAAAAAAAAGGAGATATCTGTGCAAAGGAAATAATTTTTTAAGACCCTTATGAAAACATAAGGTAATCCATTCCTTGAGGTAATCTGCCCCCCTCACCACCAATATACATACACCTCTGTAGTCTCTGAACTAGACAGGGTCAATTATACCTATTTATACAAAAATATCTTAAGTTGAAAAACTGAACATTTTTTCGAAACTTTAACCATACTATTTCCAAAGATCCTGAATTAAGACATTCTTGTCTTTGCTAGTTGCTTCTCCACTGTCATTCTCAACTAAGCTCTCCAGTGTCTTAAAGAATCACAGAATATTCAAAATTTACCACAAACAATATGCTAAATTGGCCAATAAGAATCTCTGTATAAGAAACAAATGAATTACCTTTAGTGTGATATACAATAGCAGCCCTCAGGTCAAAAGAACCCCAGCTATCATTCCTTTCTAGGCCTCTCTGGTATCTCTGTTCTTTGGCGGAGCCTAACAAAGTGTTCGTAGGAGAGGCCAGAGGATTTTGATTTTCTATCTCGTAGTCCTTTGAGAGAAACACTAAAGCACCTTGACTACTGGTGTCTGCTTTCTGCAGGTCACCTATATGACTGGGTTCCAAGGATAAGGCTCCACTCTCACTAACAGTCCCAGGTTTTAGAATGCTACCCAGAACTTGAGGACTAGTCCGTTTTTCCAGCTCATAAGCCTTGGGAAACACAGGATGCTCCGTTCCTGAGGGGATTATTTCAGCACCCTGTGAAACCAAAGTGGCAGGATATTCTCCTTGAAATGTCACCTCCATCACTTTATGATCTGATGACTTCCCAATAACAGTCTCAGGGCCAGCAYTGGGCTCATTTATAAATGATAAACCCCACTGATTCTGGAARATATCCCCCAGGTTTTGCTGATCTGTCTGAGAGGGCAGATCCACTTGTGCTGTGCTCAACAGCACAGTTTGCATATTTGAAGGATAGATAAAAAGGCTAGAYTTAATTTGTTCAACAGCTGCTGAAGTTAAACTCATGTCTTGGAGTACTGAATCAGTTCCAGAAGAGACGGGTGTTAGAGTATTAGCAGCAGTAGTTAGCAGTGGCTGGCCCCCTGAAGGATACACACTTCCATCAGTCCCTGCTAAAACAGGCCCATTGGAAAAGTTGGCTGAAGTAACAGACTTCAGTGCTGACATAGGGACCTGGGATAACCGACTTGAAGACTGGGTCTGAGTTTCCCCAGTAGATGACGAAGAAGATGAAGATGGAATTCTGTATAGTTTTGTTGAGGTTTTCCTTAACTTTGCTTGCATAACTTATTTTAGGAACTATTTTAGCACTGCTATTGTCCACTGGAAAAACTGGGGGTGGTTTAAATAGGGTCCATGAGTCCTCTTTGGAGGCAACAGCTRAGGCATGCTTTCCTTTGGGCYGATCATCAAACTTTTTGCTGCTCACACCAGGTTTAATATCTGAACTTTTAYGAAGYATATCACCCATGGCAGGTTTTCCTCRAGTTGYTCCTCCAGGCCCAGTCTCATATTTCCAAATGGGCTTTGAACCATCTACTCKATTTCCCTTTTGTTCACTATAGTCAGGCTTKAAAGTTTCAAGTCCCTGTTTTAAAGTTGGGACGCTAGTCTCTTGTTGCATTATTTTGTCCTGCACTAAATTAAGGTTTTCACAACCCTTGGCACTATTGCGCCT